AAAAAAAGTTTGCATACTCTTTATTCCTTGCTGATATTCCTATAACTTGTGAACACTTATCATAGGGACCCCATTTTATCTAAGTGATTGGTAAATGAGATATAGTAGGATGACATGACCCTTGCTCGTTCTTGCAAAGTACTTGGGATTTATTTACAAAACAAAATTCAAATAGCATGTTCCTTGAATGACAATTAAACACCTACCAAGGCCATATATGATCATACATGACAAAAACCTTAAATATATGCCTTTTACTTTGTGTTGAGTTTGGTCAAGTTTTGTGACCCCTGTTGATAGATTTTTCATGCTCCCAAGACCAAAACTCACGTACACGCCACATAAAACAGCTATTCCTACACTGGGAATACGCTAAAACATGTTTCCATCACCAGCAAATAAATACTCCATGCTCTAAAATATGATCTCCCTAGCATATTTCTAGAAAGAGACAAAAAGGCTATGCAAAAAGAATTGAGAAAAAAATGGTTCACATGAAGGTCCCAAATATTGAAAAAAATAGGGACACATGAAGGTCCCAAGATATTTGAGAAAAAAATGATGAGCACATGAAGGCTCATAAGAAAATAAGCTAGCCATGTCTCAAAAATAAAAGCTAGAGATCATATCAAACAAAGGAGTATAGTTCCACCAAATTCCACACACTTGCACAGTTTTGATCTAAGAGTATGACGCTTCTCTCCAGTGAGGTCCGGAATTTGACTTTACAACATATGCAAGGTAAGTGTGCCTCAATATTTTTCATCCCTACCCAAAACTTTAGATAAGCTTTTTAGAAGTAGGATGATCAAAGAGAAGGCAAACTTTCAAAATATGCCTTGGTAAGGAACCACTTACAAATTTGAGTGACTTGAGAGAATCATTGAAGGAACAAAAGCTATCTTTATGTTTTCAAAATCATACAAAAACCCAAGTTTCTAAGCATGAATTGAGTAAGAAGATTTGAATCCAAGCTATTCCATTTTTCAATTACCCATGATATTTTGGTAGACACTTGGAAGTTCACAGGTTCAGGTGAAGCTTGGAATAACTTGTATGCAGATTTTCAAAATCAAGGAGATGAACCCGCTTAGTCCTTAGAACTTTACTCGAGTATGAGCAAAGGACTAAGTGTGGGGGAGCTTGTTGGCAGTGCTTAACTCATATTTCTACCTCCAACATTTAAACAAAATAAAACAATATATAAATGCCAGAACTTACAATTAGGGTTTACAACTCACATTTTCCACGAGTTTTGGTATATACATGTTTTGTAGGACAACACATAAAAATACATTAAAATGCGCAATCGAGAAGGCGCATTCAAGCAAAATAGAAGCAAAGCCCAACCAAACTCCAGAATTTGGCCAAAACACCATCATGGGAGCCATCCAGGCCTAGCCAAGAGCCCACACGCCAAAGGCGGTGGCCAGGCACGTAGCCCAGGGTGCATTCAATGCATGGGGAGGCAGTTTCATGCGGTGTTTCCTAAAATACCTAAGCAAACCGACCATTCTCAAGCTATAAAAGGAGGCCCCCTCTTCACATTTGGAGTCAACACACAAGAGAGCAAGAGAGAAGAAGAGCTTCATTCCTACCTAGGCTCTACTTCTTGTGGATGGAGTGCCTGGGTTGTCGGCTCCCTCTACACTTGTACCTCAACGTATCGAATACTACTTGAAGTATAAGGTTTGTGTTTATCTTTGGTGTTGAGTTCTTAAGAAAAGTTATCTTTGATCACTATATTCTTGAGGGTTCATTGTCTATCCTCATGACAGACACTCTAGTAGAAGGGCCCTAATAAAGACGGATAACCCTTGCATGCGCGCTAGAGTAGTAGTCAATAGCATAGACGTGGTGTCTAGGCTAGAGGCTACCTTTGTTTGCCTCATTCCCTACGGATGAGGGGTAGGCGACACGTGGTGATAGCCCTGTTCGTCCCTTGTAATCTCCACGTGTGGGTTCGGCATAGAGCTACAAGCCAAAGGTACTTGGCAGACCAAGTATAAGCCGGTGCCCGAAGTAAGTCTATAGTGGCAAAGCTATCTTAACTTAGGACCTCTATCCTTAGAAAAACCTCACTACCCGAGCTATCCTTCTCCTTGTTATCTTGGGTGAACTAGCTAAGAGACTTTACACATATGTTCCTTTGGGAAAATACGACACCCTGAATACTTTCGGGTGAAGTGCTACGACAGTATATCCATGCGCTTGTGGATTCTTTCACTTACGCTAAGAAATACCAACACGCATGCAAGTCAGCAGAGCAATAGGGTACCCACCCTTCTTTTTGGTGTATGGTTCTAAAGCCATATTGCCTGTGGATTTGATCTAGAACTTGCCAAGGATAGAGCAGTACAATGAAGAAGAAGCAGAGCACACGTAATGGCTTGAGCTAGATAGTGCGGAAGAAGTCAGAGTCAATGCTACCCTCCAATCAGCTCGTTACCTTTAGGGTATACGCTGCCACTATGACAAAAGTATTCAGCCCCATACTTTTCAAGTCGATGATCTCATCCTTCATCGCATCCAAAAGACTGATGGTCGACACAAGCTACTTAGCCCTTGGGAGGGCCCTTCATTATCTCTAAAGTTACTCGACCCGGCTCCTTCGAGTTGATGACTAAAAGTGGTGATCCAGTCAAAAACTCATGGAACATCAATCAGCTTTGGAGAATTTATGCTTAGTAGTAATATTAGTATTGTCTAGTAGATTCAGTTTCATGCTTGTGTAACTTGGGTTCCTGGTTAATATAATAGAGTTTTATATTTTTCACCAGATTGAAACTATCTCTTACTCAACCTACAAGGTACACAACCTAATGGTTGTTCACACCTTATCCGGGTAGTCATGCTACCCTTCCATGAGATACGCCGGCTACTCACGCTGGTACACATCTCTGACTTATAAAGTCACCTAACAGGGATACGCCGACTACTCAGTTGGCTCACATCTCTGTGACTAAGTACTCTATTGCACCCACGACATTTAGCCCTATGCTAACACATGTCAATCCAGAAAGGGGTTCTCCGGAAGAAGGTGACTGACTAATCCTTCTGGCATGTGAGCCTCAAAGAAGATAGTCACCAAGGTCCCTTAAACACAAGTGCCCACGCACTTAAACATCGACTACCCAGTTGTTCATAGTTTTTTACAACTGTTCCAACTACGCCGACAATCTTAACTCAGATAAATTGTCTTAGGCGTCCACATACCCTACCAAGATGCATCACATCTGATAACCATAGGCTAAAAGTTTTTCATTAAAATAACAGCCTAAATAAGCAAAAGAACATTGTTTCCCACAAAGTGCCTACTCGGCACACAAAGACTGAAACAAGTTTTTTTACAAACTTGCACAGCCTATTCCTTAGGCTTCTGCATCAGCAGGTCTAAGTCATTCGCTATGGTGGTGGCTAACTCATCAAGTTCTTCCTTAGCTCTCTCCACGGCGGCTAAGTGATCTTCACTATCATACTTCGCAGTTACCTAGTGAAGATCTACAGCTGGATATAGCACTCGGAGTGTACTGAGTACATTCCAAACACAGACTTTGGTGGCTCCATGTACATAGCCCTTGAAGCGGCTAGGAATCTGCTTCACTATATCAACCCATCTTTTATCACCATCTTTTGGAGTGCGGAAAAGGAGGGCGAGTGGCTTCATAGCTTCCCAGAGTTTATTTCGCTCCCCTTGCACCATCTCTAGTTGGGTTTTCAAGTTGTTTATGAACTTTAGAGCCTGCATCAGATCTCAATTAGCTCCACATTTAATCAGCTTAGCTCGAGCAAGTTCTTCACTCACTCGATCTGTGCAGTCTTTAGGGCTTCATTCAGCTCCTTTACTTTGCGTTCCAGCCACCTAGTTTTAACTTGATCATCTGCAAATAGGAACACACATGATCATCCTCATGGTCACCAACTACTACATTCAACTACCACAGGGAAGCCATACTATTCTCTTACATTTCTGCTTGGTATTGAAGAGCTCAGCCTTCTCTGTCATCTTCAGCAGAGAGTCATAGGCATCGCCTTTCTTCTTCTCGGCAACTACTTTTTGGTGCTCTGCCTCATCAATCTGAGCTCGGAGGATGTAGAGTCTCTTCATGGCGCTCCTGCACATATTTCCACTGAGCCTCCTTCTTGGCTTGCTCCTCCTTCAGCCTAATGAGCTCCGCCTAGACTTGCTACACCTTATTGGATGCCTTCAGCTCTACGTCCTAAGCATATGACTGTTTCAAGAATTAGAACTCAAAAAATGCCAACAGCAAGAAATGACGAAGTGTAATACATACCCTCAATTGGCTGTCGAAGACAGAGGCCTAGTTCAGCAACCCCGACCATGACCTCATCAACCTAGCAAACTCTAGACTATATGCCTAGAGCTAGGTGCTTGGTCTGATAACTAGGATGGCTTCCTCCTCCTCCGCAGGCTGTGCACTTGTTGTTAGTGCACTTGGGATGAGCAGGGTTGGAACAGAAGAATCTAGGATGGCTCCCATACTCTGTCCATCTTCAACCATAGTGGACTCCACCAGCTTTGGTCCCAGCGGTTGGTGAGCTTCGCCATCAGCAGACACCGCCACTTGTGGCTGTGAAACCTCCACATGATCGGTGGTACTCGGCTGTTCCACTCCACCATCAGCGGACGATAGATTGTGCGGCTATGGTGTTCTAGTGGGCTCGAGTGGGGACATAGGCCAGCCTAGCAGGCCTTCTTCCAATTGGTCACCTTCAACATGTGGGTTCTCCTCAACCCGGGGTTCTTCGCTCTGTGGCCAGGTACTCGGTGTTTTTTGTACCCTGATATGTATAGAGTCAGTTGCTATCTCCAAAATGGTGCAAGCATATAGAGAAAGCTACAACACTAACTTGACGGAGGATCTCTTCTTTAGGACAGGTCGCCCTAGCGTCATGCCGCTAGTTGATCGATCCAGCTTCAAGCTCGACACTGGCGTGGACAGCAATCAATCGTCCTGCTGGCGCATAGCATCTAAGTCCTATCCACGTGTACCCTCATCACCTTGGGTCGGCACTCGGGTACTTAATAGGTCTGGTGGAGACATCCTATGAAGAGCACACATCATCAAGTATACCCATGACAAAGTTTGGTACAGAATTTTACTCTGAAGCATACTTACTGCCTAACAAAAAATGATGTGTCTTCTTCTTCCTCCTCCGGCTGTTCCTCAATAGCGTCACGCGTTGTAGCTATTCAAGATTGGATTCAGGATGAAAACAACTTTCAGACTACATAGAGTTACCTCAAGATTACTCTTACCTGATCTCAATGTGCAAGTTCGACGAGGCCTCTTAGGCACTGTCCCACTCGCATTAGCAGTGACATCGGCCTCTAGCGACCGTTTTCCGCTAGTGGCTCCCTGCCTTGCACTCGGGATTGCTTGGACTATGAAATCATCTGGATTCACTTCAGAATCACCGTCGGCTTCTTGGTCCACAGGGATGGTGGAGGCAGCGCCTCTTCTGTCTACTCTGGCAGATGTAGTTCCACTCCCACCGACTCCCCCAAAGCCAGCACGTGGGGGCAGAGTGGGCAAGTCATTGAAATTTTGTCCCAAATACTGCATCAACAACCAACAATTTACAGGAGTCAGTTTCCACTATATCAAGTTATTTCAAGATCACACAAATAATTATACTTACATCAGCAGGTACATTCTTGTGGTCATGTTCTGGGTATTGGCATGGTATTACCGATACCGCCTGGAGTACACCCTGAATCCTCTCTAGGACTTCATCTTCGCTCAATTCAACATTTGTCACTCGGGTAGGATCTTCTGGCCCGGTGTATTTGAAGCCATAATGCATCCTCTCTTGAAGTGGCTACACTCGACGCCTGATGAAGCCAGCGACTACTCCAACTCCATTCAGGCCCTGGTCCTTCATGGCGGTGATTTGTCTTAAGAATGGATGGATTCCTTCCAGCTCCGTAGCATTCACAGTCTCCTTTTCCCAGCGAGCATTGGGCACCGGTGCGGCATTGCTATGTACCTCCAGTGGTGGGTACACATTCCCCGCATAAAACCACTCGGCTCTCCAATTCTTCACAGAATCAAACAAGGTGTAGTGGAGATATTCATTTTTCTTCCCCACCCAAAATTGGATACCGGTGCCCCCTAAAACACTAGGATTTGTTGCGTCCGGATGTAGTTTTAGTCTAAAGAAATAGCGAAATAGAGTTATGGAAGGGGGATGACAAGGAATGTTTCATAGAGATGGACGAAGATTGACAGATGCAAGATGGAATTTGGGTTCAAATGGTTCAGGGTTATGCCATTGTAATGCAAAAACCCATGCAAAAAGGGACAAGCCGGCAACCCTAACCCGTGTTGGATGAAAGGCACAAAGAGAACAATCTCACTCGGCTCAAGGTTTGAAATTCAGTGTTCTCTAGGCGCCTTCCATTCCCCAAGCTTTTGGTCTGGGGGATACCCCTACTCATAGAGCTTCTGGAGGTGCTTCGACATTGTGCTCAGCATCGGCCAGATCTAGGTGGCGACAGCCATCTCTAGCACTTCTAGTGCCCTCTTCTTGGCAGTCTTCCTGGCGGTGGCACTCAAATTATTGCCCTTACCCATCAAGCAGAACACTCATAGATCTAGGGTTTTGAGGATACAAGATTGGTGACCCTCTTACTGGCACGGGGGCTTAAGCAGCAAGCGAATGGAGGAGTGGAAGATGATGCTCAGGATTGGTTACCTTTTATATAGGGTTCCCATTATCGTGTGGTCGATAATCACACTAACGGGTGCTGCATTTTGGTTTCCTTATCACTTTAATGACGCCACGTGGTTTGATATGACGGCTACATGCCCCTTTTTCTCGATTTACGATGCGTCACACTGTGTTCAGATTTATCCTTTGTATTCACACCTATTGGGTACTTACCATGATACGACCATTGATTGCATGGTCACATCATGATGTACTCGGGTGATTTATACAGTACTCGGATACTTGCTCGGCAGTATGAGTTAAGCCACATAGTACTCGGGCAAAAAAAATTTATTCAACAACAGTTCAATGGATACAGGGTTGGACAGTTTACAAGATTCTGACTACTCGGTCTTAGTAACCATTTTCCATACCCAAGCTCCTAGTTACTACTCGGCAGGACACATCTGACTTGTTGCCATAGTTTTCATTATGACAACGCAGTGCATCCAAGATTGGTGTTAGTGGTACAAAACTTCCTGGTCTACCGAGTTTGGGCGGCAACAGCACTTCTTCTAGCATCTGTCTACCCAAGCTGACTATGCCACTGCCACTCGAACCAGCAGCTAATCGTCAATGGATAGGCATTGATAGGCATGCTCGAAGAACTGACGTGGGACTACTAGATGAGGGAACATGTCTCTCATCACAAGGCTTCTTCTACCTGCCTCAATAGACCATTCTATTTTGCACCACTGTGAGACTAGCCTGCTTGTAGTCTCTCTCACAAGACTTCTAACTGTAACAAGATCTACCACTTCTATCAACAAAGCCTAGGAGCTATTCTACTTCAAATACCACCATATTTCTTGGCTACAAACTCAAAGTTGCTATGCTATTCCTCAGCTGATATGCAAGAGCTCACTAGGAGGGTTTTTATAGGCCAAACATGGTGTTCATGGATAGGGTTCATGAAGTGTGGAGCTGACAGTTCCTGCTATTCAGTACAGGCTTAGTTACTACATTACAGGGTATGGTGCATCCCACTACACCTTTACAGTGCATCTTGCCAGTGCATGTGAAGCTATAGTACACTTGGACGGCATATTCAGAGCATATCCTGCTCCCGCGTCAGCCTACATTTACTCTTCACGAGCACTGTACATTGCCTCACCTACTTTCTGACAAGTAGTCTAGCAATAACTGCTTCAGCATCCTTGAGTATATTCTTTTCAGATCCTAGTGCCGACTACTAGTACTCAGACACAGGCTCATGGGCTGCGGGATACATATCCTCAGAGGATGTTTTTTATTCTTTTTCAAGAATTTGCAGAAAAGACCCTCCAACTCTTTGTTCCAAATAGCAAGAGGCTCAGGGGCTACACTCAATGAGTCACATCACCCAGAGTTTTCAAGAGCACTCCATGGTTTCTCTACATAAGGTACTCAGACAATACTTGTTTCTACCTGGCATGACCTCAAGGAGCAAGAAGACTTCCAAGTTCAATCGTGAAACACTCAGGGGCTTATCGATGCAAGACCCTAAGGGTTACCTATCGGGTCGACTTCTACAGTAGGCCCATGGCTGGCCCATGATCTGCTTGAAGGACATGAAGTAAGGTGGCGTGGACTTTAAGCCATCAAGGACCGACCTAGATGGCTTACTAGGAAGGCTAGATTCTATAATAGAATAAGGACTCACCAAATTGTAACAGACTAGGACTAGAACAAACTGCCCTGCCCTCTGCCCTATATAAAGAGAGGCAGGCGGTACCCCTTGTACACACAATCATACAAAGCAATCCAACGCAAAGGCTAACGCCAACTAGACGTAAAGGCTTTTACTCGATTATGAGGGCCTGAACCAGTATAAAATCACCGTCTCTTGCATTACCGATGAGTTCCTGAGTTCGTCGAAGCCCACCGAACACCGTCCTAGGTACCCCCATGATGGGTTGTCAGTCATCAAACATCGACAAGCACCTATACAACTCATTCTGATCTACTATAGCTTGAAGAATAGTGGTTAGGATATAGACATCTTCATTGGACATTGATAATTCCTAAATTATGCAATTCAGCTATAATGTTGCTACATCATTTGATTGTTAAATCTTTGTCTGCCTTGACTAACTATGCACTGATTACACAACTATATTGTATCAGAAAAAATAGTTCTAGCATAATTGACATGTCCATGAAACGTAGGTCGATGGCATGGGTGTAAATCAGAGAGTTGAATGGAGGAGAGAAAATTTGAAAGAAAGATACGATGAAGCTATACAATGTATGAGAACAAACTACCATGGCACCATAATAGATATTTCCTTATTGAGTCTGCTCATTTCAAATGTCACAAAATATCATTTCTACTAGGGTTTGCATGCAATGAAATGCTCACTTAGTTTTAGTCTAATTTTAGTTACTAAAGATCGTAACATTCCTTCTTTTTTAGCAGAACTTCAATAGTGAAGACCTTAAGAAGGAGTTTGATGACATTGACAATCTTACTAAAAATAAACTTGAGGAACTGTTGAAAAAGTTCCTAGAGGATTTTAAGGCCAACTTAGTAGAGGCACATGGGTGGCCAATAGGTGGATCTTCAACCTATAAAGTTGCCAAAGCGACACTTAATGCATATACTAGGATTCTTGCCAAGAAGTATCCTATATTGCATATCAACTATCTGACACCTGGTTATGTCAAGACTGATATCTATATGCACATGGGAGTATTGACACTTGAAGAGGATGCTCACAACCCTGCGAAGGTTGGTCTCTTGCCTGACGATGGACCAACTGGTGCTTATTTTGATCTGAATGGCGAGGCATCCTTTGTGTGATCATGTTATAGGATCATATTTCTTTTACTCCTTAGCTTCTGACTAATCCGAACGTCTTTTGTATGATCTCTCTGAGATGTTTGCATATTATAATTGGTGTGGTGTTCGAGGTGTGGGTGGTATTTAGATGTCTCAGAATATTGCGGACGCTGGAAGTTCTAAAAAAATTGCAATAGACAATGTCGATGTGGGCGATGGGTACCATCTCCATCTGACAGTAGCAAGTAGGGATCCAGCGGATTTGGCCCTACATGTCACAATTGATTTCTAGGGAGACTCTACCAACTACAGCCCAAACCCCTTCTAGTCCCTATAGTAGTCCATGTGTTTGGCAAAGTAGAGACTATTTGGGACTAAAATGGGCTCACTAGTCTCTAGTCCCATCTAACAAAATAGACCCTTACTCTCTTTCTCTCTCCTCTCCCTTACACCTTTTAATCTTCTTTTAGTACCTAGATCAAATAGTTATCTTGAGCTAAACTTTAGCACCTTTTAACAGGATAGTATGTTAAACTTTGGCATCATCCTCGTGCTTTGGCATCATCCATGTGGTAGATCGTGGATGTGACATTCCCATTGAGTCCTTTGTAGTTCACTCCCCGAATATAGGACAAGTAGGATCTAATTATGAAGGAAGACAAGCTCTGTTCTTAATCTTTCTTAGTAATATCCCTTATGTGTAGATATGAAGTTGATCTTAACCATGATCACTAAGTGTAATTGCACTAATCAACATATGCTTTGACTTATAATTAAGAATGACTTAGGAATTATTCCTCTAATATTCTACTTAGCCATGCTAATGCCATAGAAAGGAGTACTCTGAGTGATCAATGATTAGTTGTTACTTACCATTCATATACTTTTATCTCTTGACTTAGCCCTGTTGTGAGCAAAAGTTGAGTTATGGTTTATTTCTCCATCATGTGTATAAGTTATCAATTTATTCCAACTGTCTGTCCTTCCCTGTGGTAAAAATATAAATAACGATACCTGAAATACTCCCGGGTGAAGTGCTACAATGGTATATTATTTGTGCGCTTGCAAATTCCTTTTCATATATATATATATATATATATATATATATATATTCTTTCTAGTAACATAAAATATTAAAAGTACTTCTTAGTGTCATTCTAGAAGTGGCTCTAGGTAGTAACAACAAGCATTTCTGGCACCATCGCTAGGGATGACAACTTAGTAAAAGTGATGCTAAGAAATGTCAACAACATTAGGTGACTACTTAAATAAGTGATAAGTTAATAAATACCAACAAAAAGCATAGGGTCTTGAATGGCAAGGTCAGGGCCAGAATTGACTAGGTCATTAAAACCCATGCCACACCAAGAGATTCTTTTTCTTTTTGTTTAAAAGATAGAACCTCTATTCGAAGGTAGGTGACTACTTAAACAAGTGATAAGTTAATAAATACCAACAAAAAGCATAGGGTCTTGAATGGCAAGGTCAGGGCCAGAATTGACTAGGTCATTAAAACGTGCCCATGCCGCACCAAGAGATTCTTTTTCTTTTTGTTTAAAAGATAGAACCTCTATTCGAAGGCTAACCACTCCAGAGATGGGAAAGAAGGATAAACAAAATCTAGAGCATAAGGCTTCCCAATCTCCTTGTACACTTCCTACGGTTCGGGTATACCAGTGTTTAGCTCTTCTCGTTAAAGAGAACTAAAATAGCTTCCACTTTAAAGTTTCATGTGACATGCCCGTGATATGTAAGCATGCACAAGTCTGCTCAAACTCTCGTAGGTGGGTGTATGGGTTTTCATCACCTTCTCCTGAGAACGATTGTTCCTGGACCAAATTTATTAAACTCGGATGCAACTCATAGCCAGATGTAAGGATAGGTTTCAAAGATTCTGATGGCTCTAGTTGTGCGCCCGTGGGAGCAGCGAATTGATTAATATGCGTGATGTTATCCATGCTTAAAGATAAAAGATACAAGGACAAACTTGGTTCGACAAAATCACAACAACCGTTTCCCCGGCAACGGCGTCAGAAAACTTATTGACATCTGTGGAGGCACACAGAGACAAAATCCGTAAGCGCACGGGTATCGAAGTAGTGTTCACCCGGAGTATTATCGAGCATCGTATCCATAGGGAAACGTGTGTATGTCATCTAAACACTAGTTCATCCTGGGATAGCAATCAAGGTACATAAGTGCATCTAGCCCTTTAGTGGGTTTTAGTAAATTGAATGACAACACAATTAAAGGTCTAATAAGTTTGCTAAGTGTTGAACAGGAAATTGAGTCTATTGCATATACTTGTGGGTTGTGTATTAACAAGTATATACAAGGTTCAACTTGTAGGCAAACTTGATGATATGCCACATTGTGTTAAAGTGAATGCCAAACTGTGTATTGTTGTATTGGAAGT